TTGAATTCGCGCGTGGTCATCCACTTGAACGTCAGAACTACATTGACCACCTACTGTCGCTACGTCCAACTCGGTCATCAGAATTCGACTAACATTCCAGTGGAGTTTATCAAGATGATGCATGTACAGTTGTATGCCTGCCAAATTCATGGCTTATTTGTGAATATGTTTTAGTTCTCTCTGACTACCAAATCATTTGTGGTAGTCCTGTATGGGGAAATTGCACTCACAGTTTTGCCCTCTAGTATAAACCCTAAAGAAATCATTTACACTCATAACGAGTATTTGGATTGTTAGGGTCCTAAATTGTGACACAATTGGTTCGTCAGGGAGCAAACGACTAAAATACATGGATTTGGTGTAATGTGTATCGGAAGGAGACAAATAAGGTGGTGATTCGAAGTACTAGCTGGACCAACAAAGTGCCATAGTCCAAGTTATTGCGGTAATAGCTAGAATGGAAGGGAGAATGGTCTTGGAGGATATAAACTAAATAGAAATGTTCACTTGTGATAAGAGTGCAGTGGTCAATGGACTAGCACTATTTTCAAAACTCATCTCAAAATTCGTTTGCCAGGAGGATAGACGGTGTCATTTCATACTTGTTCGACGACGACGTGGAAACATCAGAGCTCAAAGGTACTGCAACGGATTCGAATTAACCATGCAAAGTGTACCAGAAAAGTACATCTTTCTGAACGTCAGTTTCGGATCTGAGTCGATCCGAAACACCACTGACTGCATCTAAAATCGTCCGCTTGCCTGTGGATGATGATCCTTGGAGTTGCGTTCACTGACTTGAGTGTGAATCTGACATGAACTTCAAAAACCTCTATGTTCCGTACATATAATCAAGCCCACTTTGCGCCTTAGAATGTGACTGGCAGCACATGTTGCAAAAACGCGAATTAAGCCCAAAAACATTCTTGTCACCGTGCTCTTCATCATCGATTATTCTCTGGCCACCTAGTTTTAGCTCTCTTTTTCAGCATTTTTTTGAAGGGGAGATATAACAATATGGAGCGAATCTACTGGTCTAGACTTCCGGTTTTGTAGGTTGTAGGTTCGTTATTAATACCAGAGGAACATCCACGATACCAACACCGAATTTTCTAGCAGTGCAAGCCCGTAATTGTAATGGCAATATTTGAATAAACTATTTCTGAACCACAGTGCAACTACCCGATCCAGAGAAAACACGAATTAAGATATACGTGGAGATCTGTAGGGCCATCCTACACGGCATACGTTTCTGGGATTGGTTGTTGCTGTGTTTTCGCGCGCTTGGCAGCTTGAATGCAAACGTTTCATTTCCAGTCGAGGTGACACCGTCAATCAGTCCACTGTCCTCGAAGAACTGCCGTAGTTCAACAGTATCGTCCTACACGGCGTTTCTGGGATTGGTTGTTGCTGTGTTTTCGCGAGCTTGGCAGTTTGAATGCAAACGTTTCATTTCCAGTCGAGGTGACTGACACATGAAAGCATGATTGCCCTGGATAGCCCTGTAGAGCGTTACCTTTAATATTATTGACTCTTCTCATCCTGGCTTCACATCCAGTCCGACTTTAGAACCTTCGAAACAAGCATACAAGTTTTTTATTGACAAGAAAGAAATATCGAACCGATGCGTTTTGCGGTGTGTTGAATTACTTCTCAGCTCACTTGGTTGAAGCCAACTTTGATGAGCCCAGTGAGTTGTGCGTAGACGCACTGAAGTCGCTCGTTCAGGTCGTTCATTGATTCGCAGTCGAGGTTCGGGGTGTAATGCAGACTTGACACACCAAGATAGTTTGTACCTGAAAAACAAGGTACATTATGCCCAAAGCCTGTATGACAATGATATTAGCTGTCGTAAAAGCTTCAAGTGAGACACATTTATTCCGTCTTGGAACTTGTCACTGTATGTATAAACAACCAGATCACGGTGAAAAACCTGTGCGAAGTTGAGGTTTGTCGTGAAAACGGTGTAAGCGTCACTCTGTGGAGAGGAAAATTTGCATTAAAGCCAAATTTTAAACACAAACCAGCAGTAGCTTCAATTGCAGAATGGACTACAAAGCGGAAGATCTGTTTTTCGGTCAATCTATTCAGGCGATTTCTCCTCAGAAGGCAACTCTTTAAATAGCGTGACAGTCAGTGATTGACATTTTCGTCAGAGTTGGATTTGACAGCCATGGCGGAATAGGGAAAGTTATACAAATAGAGCACGTGAGTAGTCTACGGTCTGGTGTGTAAGCCTCCTCCCGCATCTGATGGAAGGTGAGGGTTACTATGGAGGTTATTCAGGGGCTTTGCAGTGTTCGTCCATTATTTTGTAATATTCGAAGAATGTTCCAGA